TGGTTAGAATTATTCTTATTGGATGGACATAGGAATGGTCAAGTGATCTAGTATGAGAAATATTGTATTTGTCATTGCACTATAATAGGATATCTTGCCTATAAGAATTGCAGCCAGCAGTGAATGAGTTAATTCAGTGTGATTTGACTGTCAGCCAAAGTTTGTTCTGTGTTTAGAAAGTTTTTGTAACCTGATTTCAAAGTGAAGTGTCCTGTCGTAAATCTTGTTGAAAATTGCATACATATCGATATAACTATTGCTATTTAACGATCGGTAAATTGTGTTAAACCACTGCCATATTCTAATCTATGTTATACCTAAATATTTACTGATTATTGTCACGCATGCTACATATTATTATTATGATTATTATTATTGTCACAATAAATTATATTTTTATAATTAATTGGTGATTAATGTGTGAAATAAAATCTTCTAATGAAATGAATTCCAGGATCTATGAGAATTAAAATAGTGGGTAATTCTCAGCTTTAAATCATTAATCAGGGAAACAGTGCCAACATATCAATCTCAGCTTTAAATCATTAATCAGGGAAACAGTGCCAACATATCAATTTTGAAATTATAAAAATTATGAAATACATTTTTGATAATTTTTATGAAAATATTATTTTTAATATTTATCACCCCATAAATATCCTCTCAAGAGGGTCCAACTTTGGTATTGTCCCATCAACAAACTGGGAGTATGACAAAGTACTTACGGTATGTGATGAAACAGGATATTACCCTTTTAAAATATATTGGTGCTGTAAACCAGTCATAACCACATACCTAAACTAACTGTGGGAAAGAAAGGTCATACATCACATGTACAGCAATCAATGTATTTTTTTTTCTTATGGAACGGTAATGATTAACCATTTTTAAAAAGGACACAAATTATGTAAATGGAACTCATTTTTAGAGCCATTTTTCAATTGTTAAAGTATATTTTAAAAAATAAATAAATACATACATTTTCACCAGATTGCCTTGGAAAGGCAGTGATGCTACAATAAACAAATTATTGAACGCAGTTGCCTGGGGGGGCCTAGATTAATAATGATCTGACTTTTCAAAAGAAAGGGACCCACTAAAATAACATAGCATGGGGACACGACTTGAAACACTCATACATAAAACAATCTGAGCTCATAGAGAGGACTGATATCAAAGTGTGCCTGAAGAGGGTGATTTCAAAAAAGGGAACATTGGGTTATATGAATAAGTTCTAATCTGTAAACTACGTTCCTTTAAGACTTACTTTTCTGTTGTAGCTTTTGAAGAGCATTGTTCTGTATAAGAGGAAAAGCAGATAGAAGCACGTTGTTTAGCCTCAAAATACTACTGACAAGAAATGGATTTAAAAGTGAAAATATGTCAGATGTAATTTTCTTCTCATGGAGTTCAGCTCTTTAGGTTCAATCCTGTGCCATGTGATCTACCGTGTGTTACGTAGTTCGAATAATAAAGTGAAGAGTGTTTGAGCTCAGTACATTTTTCAAAGTAAATTCATCTTTGGAACTTAATTAGTGGGAAAAAAAACATATTGAATTGAACTGAATGTAAACTACGGTATATTCAGCCATTGCTATTACTTGGAACTACCTTTATTTCCGTTATAAATTCTAACAATACAGTAAAGAGTACCAATCTCACTGTCTCCCAGGGAGTGAGCAACAGATTGCTCTCATGATCAGATTTTAATATATTGCAGGGCTTCACTTCATTATCACGTTGGTTAATTCTATCCTCCTTAGTCAGAGATCAACTTACTACAGCTTCCTAAATCTGCTATATGGAAATATCTGCTAGTTATTATGAATATTGTTAGAACTCTAGTGTAAGGACCACACGAAGACCTTCGAGGAAAGGCTGCCCACACACAAATTGATGAGCTAAAATTGCTCAATACATGTAAAAATGAAAGATAACACAGCTGTAGCCCTAAAAATAAAGAATATTTTCCTTTTGAAACAAAGTGCAATACCTAAAGGGAGCTATATAGCACTATTAATAACACAGCTTATAGTAATGTTTATGGTGCAGTGGAGCTATTGGTGTATTTTCGGGCTGACTGACAGGCTATGTGTGCTGTGGAGACCTCCAGTTTTTGTCAAACTGTATGAAAAAAAAGTTTATTTAAAATTGAAGTGGCGAACTCATTGCGTCCTTCTACCTTAAGCTTTGCAATTACCTGTTGTGGTTATGGTGCTTGGAGTGTCCCTTCTAAGGATAATTGTTACTTCTTTAGAAATAACACCACTGAATAAAATCCCTTCTGACTTGTGTTAACCCTTATTTCATGTACACTCCATCTTCTTAAAAATGTATATTAAAGACTTCACAATTAATGTCTAAGTCCATTTCAGTCCAGGCACAACCAGGCACACATTGGATGTTTTTGTTTCTCCTCCTTTGCCTTTTGTGCTATGCTGAATGACAGATTAAAAGGGCAGAACCTATAACAATGATTAACATTCACACCTCACACACACATTTGAATACAGTGAATAATTAAGGGTTATTCACTAGAGCCCAAAAACCCCATGATGAATGGGGCAAAAATCATCAAATTGCAAATGGGGGCATTTTTACTGCACAATCCTTATTTTGTTCACAATATTGATATTTTTCCTCTGAATGCTGCTGGATAGCTGAAAATCAGGCATATATACTTCAAATCTAGGGCCACATTATTACAAATACCTGTACCAACTTACATACTATCTTTATCCAACAAACCAAAATGATCCACAGACACTAATTATAATATATATAGAGAGAGAGAGTTAAAAGGCACATATAAAGTTCCAAAACAGCCACCGCATGGATTTTTGCGTGCACAAGCAGGTGCCTTCTATGCCTGCTAGATAAAGAAAAAAACAACAACATGTATTGCATTTTCTTTTATGTTTACAGGTTTAAATACCAGGGGTAGGAAAATTTAATTTATTTCATCACTCCAATATTTCATTAAAAGAATTTCATCTTTCTTCAGTGAATAATAATAGATTTATGATATTGTTGTGGAAGCTACTTCGCCATTTTCACGCTTGCTAATATTTAACTGCTATTTATTGAATATAAAGATGTTTTTTGTTATTTAGCATTTGTAACAGGCAATTCGGTAAATAGTATCACTCAACAGACGATGACTGTTATGTTAACCAACAGCCCATCTTTGGCTTGGAATGTAATTTGCTAATAATATCAATTTGGTCGGTTTTAGGGAATCAGATTTGCTCAGAGAAAAAGCACTAACTCTTATGAGTTTGGATCAATGTTTCATTAGTGTTTTAGGTACAGTTATTCATTAGTCACTCTTGTTATTTGGCTGAAAAAAAAAGTCATAAAAATACTCATAATTAGTTTATTTTTTACTGTCACTTGTGACCAATAAATCTGTCAGTGCATAGAGTGGTATTCTCCTTTCCGCGCATGAAATGGGCTATAGAGGCAAGATTAACAATCCTTATACGCATGCAGCTGGAGATTGAAAATCTGTCCTCTGCTCCTGGAACAAATTAAACCATGTCTATACATATACCTCAATAGGTTGTATTTTCACATACAGGAAATCTTTAGTTAAGCAAGCTTATTTGACAAACATACCAGAGAAGGACTTGCTGTTTTGTTGTTTGTTGATTTTTATTTCTCTCGCTTAATGCTTTCAGCGATCTTTGGAAAGTAAATCTGTCTGTATGTGAAAATTGGATTTTTATGTGAGAATGTACTGGGTAGCATACAGGTCCACTTAGGCCTTGATAGTTGTGATTCGGTCTGTATCTTATATCTTATTGATTATTTTCTTGTCTGTATCGTTTTATATACAGTGCTGTTTACTCAGCCAGTGTCCTATTATAAATGTCAGACGCACTGTTTAACCCTTTGGTAAGGTGGTAAGGGGCACACAAGTTTCAATATACTAGTTGTATGTGGGTTGTTTTTTTTGTTATAAATTGCAAAAGAAAGTGCTAAATTACATTTACTACTCATTTTTAAAGTATTGATGTTATTGGATCAATTACTTGTCTAGTGATATGGCCTTAGACTTTGAACTAGCTATGAACTGTTACACTTTCTCTGGTCTGCTTTCAAATAGAAGTTAGTTATTATTTGCATATACTACTCAATGAGGAGCACAACCATAAAAATAAAAAGACACTTTATTAAACAGGTCCGCATAAGCAGGTATCTCAAAATGCATATCAGACAATCAAAGCATAAATCACTTGATAATAGCACAAAAACTTGCAAGAAATTCTGCAATTACATCCAAACAGGAATGAAGACAAATAGATTCATAAGTAACAGAATTATTACTAAGTCATAAAGATACCGGACATAACAACCAAACAAGTAATACATATAAGACAAACCAATTAATACCAGTAATAGTGAGAAGAGGGGAAAAGTCAACCAGCAAGCCCCCAACATTTCAGCAGAAAAAATGCCTTTATCAAGGGAGCATGATAAATGCATGTTTTTCTGCCAAAACATCTTTAATGAAGCAGTTTTGGTGCATAGATAATGTTCCTTGTAGTCTGACTACACACTTATCTGCCATTTTGAAGTTAAATCAATTTTGCTTCTGCTTATGTAGCCTTAGCTACACCACCCCTGGCTGTAACTCACATAACAACCATGAAAAAATAGTTTAATTTCAATCAGAACTTACAGCACAGTGTGTTTACTTCAAATGTCTTATCTCTAGCTCTGTTAATTGAACTTTACCCAAACACAGGATGCTTTTGCCGATTTTAGCAGACTATTAACAGAGCAGAAGATAAGAACTTCTAAATCAATCACATTTTGTTATAAATTAAGTTTAAAAATTAGATCTCTGCTTTCAAAGTGCTTTCAGGAAATGTGTAAGGAGGATATGTATGTCTCAGGCAGTGGATGTGTGGCTAGGGCAGCGCAAACAAAGTGATTTAACTCCTAAATGGCAGAGAATTGAGCAGTGAGACTGCAGGGGCATGATCTGTACCAGTGTTCTTCAACCCAGTCCTCATGGGCCACCAACAGTCCAGGTTTTGTCAGTATCTCTATTGGAATAAAACAGGGAAATACATACATTCTGGACTGTTGGTGGTCCATGAGGACTGGGTTGGGGACCACTGATCTATACACTAAAACTGCCTAATTAAAGCAACTTTCTCATGGTATTACATCACTTTAATTAGGGGTTTTCCCCCAGGCCTACAAGCCCTTAGTAACCACCACCCCCTTCCTCCCCACCCCCACCCCCCCCACCCCCACTTCCCATTCAATTTTTTTAATATGATTCCTCCCTTGAGCTCCCTTTGTTAAGATTTGTCTTTTCTTTTTAAAGAGAAAAAGGTCAGAAATGAAGAAGGAAAAACAGATTCAGGAAGAAGAAGAGAAAAGGAAGATTGGAGAACAGCACGTTTGGAGTGATAGAGCTGATTTAAGAGATTTGCCTACCAGATATGAATTATTTGAAATATGCAGTTGATAAATAACTCCTGTTTACTCTTGATATCTCATTTATCAAAGACATCAACTATTTATCATTCATCTGGGGTGAGCTGAAAACTGACTTTAATCATTTTGACTATAATAGCAGACTGGAAAAAGATACACGCAGTCAAGATAGGACGTTTTTCCAAGTCTAAAATGTTGGTCTAACTTTTGTGATAAGGTTGTCCCTTTTCACTGTTTAGTGAATAACTTCCTCGGTAACAGAGTAGCATTTCCATTTTAATTCAAACATTGTGAAATTGAAGCTGAACTCTTCCTGCTGGTATCATCCCAATCCTCTGTTACATACATCTAATGAAAAATATGTAATGCATGAGACCTGGGTGACATTGCCTTGACTCCGTTATGCATTCAGAAATCATCTCTATTCAGTTTTCCCAAGCAAAGCAGAATTCTATTTATAAAGGAAAGTGGTACTGTACATCTGCATATTGAAACCTAGCTGGGGTGGTGACGTAAATTTCAAACCTTTTGAGGTGAGTAATAACAAAATAACACAGTGGACACATTATGATTTAAATGATGCCGTGTATTAAAGGATCTATGTGATGTGGTATGTTTTAGTACAATACAAGGATAGATAATGCTTGCATTTGGCGATTATGCTTTTGCGCAGCATATGTTATCAGCCTTTGAAACTATTCTCTGACATTTTACATTTACCCTTCATGAAAGAGGGATAATAAATCATAACCTTGGAGAGGTATCAAGATGATTGAATGTAATTAAAAGACATGATACTTAAAACATAGCTTAGGCAATACTTACGGTAAACACGTGTAGGGTCACCTACAACCAGGACCAGATACCCAATATACCCAACTTTTATGAAGACCATGCTCAAGAGGTCTTCAGCGCAGTTGGGAAGATCTTTTAGGTTACAAAGAGGTCTGGATACAAATATGAAAAGCAAGAAATTCATCAAAATTCAGAGAGCATGTGCAATGTGTGATTACATCACAAAATGGTGAATGTGGTGCCAAGGGAGATAAGTTGGAAAAGGTTAAGATGATTTCCTGTCCCTTAATGAAGAAAGATAATCCTCAGGCTCAGAAAAAAGGCCATAAATTGTTAAGGTTCACCCAGGACCAGATTTACTAATAGGCAGCTGCCTGTAGACTCCTGTCTAAGAGGGACCCCTAAAACAAATGTGCATTAGCCATATTTTTATTTCATTTTTCATGGTAAGCTATTTTTTTCCCATTTGTGTAGAGACAAGAAGATATGTACTTCTGTTCATCTTAGAAATCAGGGGGAGCAATTGGATTTTTCTGGGGGCAGCAGTGGTGCTCTTCTATTGTGTAAATCTGGCCGTGTGCTCACCAGAAAACAATATTCAGAAGGTTTTATACCAAACATTCACAGGGTACCAACAAGGTAAATGACTAAAACAAACTGCTAGAACTATATGCTTCCATTTAGTGTCAAAACCTGGTAATGAAAGTAAATCATACCAGTGTGTGCAAGTACGTGCTTCGTTGTCAACTCTTGAATGTGTCAAAGCTCAACAGCATAATTTCATGTACTCCCAATGCAATCTCACAGGTTTGAAACAATCAGGGCTTTATCCTTCCAATCAGAAACCTATTAAATCACAATGGTCATGTTATGGAAGGCACCAGAGACTAAATAATGTTTCTCTTGGAAATATCACACAGGGCCATGAAAGTTATTTTAGTGAATCTAAACTGTATTGATGCAAGTTTAAAGGGTTACTCTAAGCACTATCATAGTGATTTGAAGTAGTCGTGGTGCCTGCAGTGTGTATTTAAATAGTTTTGCCATGAGACATACATATTAATTATTATACAGAAACAACGCAGCAAATTGTTTTCATATGTAAATAACATTCTGTCTAAATATATAAAAATGTATATACGAGTCGTACTGCCACAGTTTCATAGTGTACCATGCAGGTTCTTACTGATTCTACTTGCTTTGTGCAATGTGTGTTCTGTTTAGATAGCTGTGATTCATACTTTCCACTGAAGTATTTCTTTTTTTTTCCTGTATCAAATTACCTTCACATTTTGCTTGCTTTTGATTTTTATTTAGATGCATGTACTGTACTGCCATCTTGTGTCTTTTTTTTATTTTTTGCTTGTGGTATTATAATGTGCTTTCTTAGATGATCTGAAAAAATTGTAAGCTGTGTTGGCATGTATATGTATGTGTGTATAAAATTACATGATATGAAAACATGCATACATAGACTTTAATCATTAAATGTTTATATAGAGTCACCTTCGTAAATGCACACAGATACATGTTGATGACACCTCATACAGGCATACATACCTACAGACACTATTTATATATATATATATATATATATATATACACAAAATACACAATCCAGCGCACTCGCTTATTCACTAAACAATGATTTAAAATCTTAGAGATTGTAATAGTTTTATTTAAAAACACCTCACCTAGGCAAAAAATAATGGGGGTCTAGTTAAATTATATGATCATATATTGCATAAGCCTGCCATAACGTCAATGTACCCCATTCTTGGCAGGTCATTCCAGGACCCTATTTAGCCTTGACTTGCAGAGAGTCCCAGTAAGAAAGTATTTCCCAAGTAAGTGGATTAATCGCATAAGAGCAAGAAGTAGGACCTGTCAAGAATGGGGTACATTGACATTGTGGCAGGCTTATGCAATATATGATCTCTAACATCCACCAGCTCCGTGATGTCGTCATGGAGGAGTGAAAGAGGACTCCAATGGCAACCTGTGAAGCTCTGGTGAACTCCATGCCCATGAGGGTTAAGGCAGTGCTGGAAAATAATGGTGGCCACACAAAATATTGACACTTTGGGCCCAATTTAGACATTTCCACTTAGGGGTGTACTCACTTTTGTTGCCAACGGTTAATGGCTTTGACATTAATGGCTTTGTGTTGAGTTAGTTTGAGGGGACAGCAAATTTACACTGCTATACAGGCTGTACACTTACTACTTTACATTGTAGCAGAGTGTCATTTCTTCAGTGTTGTCACATGAAAAGATATAAAATATATTTACAAAAATGTGAGGGGTGTACTCACTTTTGTGAGATACTGTATATATACACATACACATACATCCTCTGACTTACGCATATTTATACATCATGCTCACATTCACCAAACTGTATGTCATTTCATAACTAAATTAATGAAGGAAATTAGAACAAATAATGTCTCATTAAGATACCTATATAGGCAGCACTCCAGGATAATGAAGGTACCGTATATACTCGAGTATAAGACAAGTTTTTCGGCACATTTTTTGTGCTGAAAAACCCCCACTCATCTTATACTCGAGTGAGTGTCTGTATTATGGCAACTTACATTGGGGTCCTGTTGGGGGCTTGCAGAGAGCTGTAACTTACCTTTCCTGCAGCTCCTGTCAGCTCCCTTTTCTCTCCTCCGTGCCGGTCAGCTCCCCTGTCAGCTCCCCTGCAAGTCTCGCGAGAGTCACGGGGTCAGAGCGTTGCCACGGATTACCGTGGCAACGTTCTACGCGGCACTCAGACCGCAAGACTTACAGAGGAGCTGACCGGCACGGAGGAGAGAGAAGGGAGCTGACAGTAGCTGCTCTCTGCCAGCCCCCCCTCCTACACAGTGCACACCAGTGGACCACCAGGAAATGAGAGCCCCCCCGAAGAAAAATAACATAAAAATTTAAATAATAATAAAATAACATAAAAGTAATAATATTAAAAAAATATTATTAAAATAATAATAATATAAAATAAAATTATAAAAATGCCCACCCCCCCACCAAGGCTCTGAATCACATACACATACACACACTGCACTCATACACACACTGCATTCATACACACACACACTGCACTCATACACACACTGCATTCATACACACACACTGCACTCATACACACACACCGCACTCATACACACACACACACACACTGCACTCATATACACACACACACACTGCACTCATACACACACACACACTGCACTCACACACACACACACTGCATTCATACACACACACTGCACTCATACACACACACTGCATTCATACACACACACACTGCACTCATACACACACACACTGCATTCATACACACACACTGCACTCACACACACTGCACTCATACACACACACACACACTGCATTCACACACACACACACACTGCATTCATACACACAGGCTGCATTCATACACACACTGCATTCACACACACACACACACACACTGCATTCATACACACACTGCATTCATACACACACACACACACTGCATTCATTATATTGAGGGCATTTAGAGCCTTAATCATGCTCTGCTGAGTCGAAACTTCGCACTTATTTTTAGGTGAGGTGGTAAACCCAGGAATAAAACTTACCTTCGTTATGCTGGAGTGCTGCCTGTGTTCTTCTTATTTTGATACTGCATTGGTGGATTCAGCAGTGTCCATCCCTTACATGGGGCGTCTCCTTGGTGGAAGGCCGGAGCATTCATGCGGAGCTTGTGTGCAGGGTATACTGTTTCTCTTTAAGATACCTAGATTGAAAGTCACAAGTTATTAAGAATAACTACACTAGCCCCTGAACCTAGTACATGTTTGTTACATAAATAGGTACAAAATCCAAAGA